TGCTTTTAACAAGCATTTTTTGTCTTTTCCTTTTTTCTATTATTTTGGGAGTCTGGGAGAAATTTTGGAAGCTTTTGTTTGATAAGAAGTCTCAAAGTTGCCTAAGGCAATGATTTCACCCTTTTTGACCCCCAAATACTCCAAATTGGTTCAGTATAAAAGATATTCCTGGGTCCTTGGGATGTGTGAGGTGCTAGGATGTCTTGGTACTTAGGAATCTCTCAGTTCTCACCTTCAGCAGCCCTCTTACCCAGCTAACAGCACTGTCATGTGTGAAGCTCCTTTCCAGGAGGTGCCCTGAGGTCAAAGTGCCCAGCAACGGCCACTTGCTTGCTCTGGTCTGGGAGGTTGTAGACATGTTTAATGTCAAACATTGCCAGCACCTCCCCATCTTTGGTGAAGGAAATCTCATGGGCTCTGGTGGTGAAGTTAACCTTCTAGGTGTAATGCAGCACCTGAGATTGAGGCAGGAGATGGAGGAAAAGAAACTGATGAGGAGCAGAGGCTTTCTCTACGTCACAGAAAATGTTCCTTCCTGAGCATTCTCCCGTGTCTGTGCTTGCCAGTACGTGGAGGGAGGCACAATATCTCTGCAACTTTTATGAGGAAGAAGCTCTGTTTGCTCATCTTCCAAGTTTACATTAATCTCTGGGGAAAGGGATAAGGAAGTGAAAGTTAAATCCATAACAATGTTGGGTTTTGCCTAAGACCAATTCATGGGATGAGCTGGCCTTATGAATATGGACGTCTCCATCTATCCAATGTTACGTCTGTCCGTACACATTACTTAGTGTCTTTCTTTGTGCTAAACATGATCAGTACCTAGGATACAACAATTCAATCCTTCCCTCAAAGAACTACCTTTTCATTTCAGTAGTGTGGCTGATAGAGAATGTCTTTTTCTTTTCTTTGTCTTTTTATTTACTTATTTAGTTTTACATTTTACTGGGTTTTAGGTGCAAAGCAAATTAATTTTCCCAGTCAATAGTTGATATACAAATTGTTCTGTGACATTGGCTGCAATCCCTGCAATGTGTCAACACTTTCCCTGTTTCCCCCGTGGGTTCCCTGGTTCCATTCGTCCAATTTCACTGTCCCTCCCTGTCTTCTCATCTGTGCTTTTGGGCTAATATTACCCAAATATATAGTCTGAGGACTATATATTTCACATTGTTTTATAGTCCTGTCTATTATTTGGTGGGAAGATGGCCCCTGGAAGTATCTTCAGTTTCAAGTTAGAAGATTTTCTCAGGGCAATAATCTTGGGGATTCCTCTAGTCTCTTTGTGACCAGTAAGACTGTTTTATTTTTTTTTTTTGCTTTAAAGAATTATGATTTTTGAAAATTAAAAGCAGACGTGTATCTCGAACTCTAACTCCTACAGCCTTCATAGCTTGTGGAACCTCACGTTTTGAGACTTTCAAAGCCCTGTAATTTTCCTCTGGGAACAGTTTCAGTGCTAGAAAAGGCGGAGAGGTAGCGTGCCCTTAGGAAAAACACCAAAGACTTTGGAGTGGATATTTCTGGATCTTCAACTCACATTCCCTTCCAATTCTTTTGACCAAAATACCTAATGTCCAAAGAGGCACACAGAAATTGATGGTAGGCTGAGAACTCAGACCCAACTCTTTTAGCTGAAAATCCAGCGCTCTTGTCTTAATGATGTTGGCTGAGGCCTTTACCCTCCCAAACCCATCTTACCCCTCTTTGAGACTGTTTGAGCATCACCTCCTAGATTATGGGGGAACGATTCACTTCTTCCCATTCCTGCTCCCATCACTGAGCAGTAAACGATGAATGGGTGGGGTGTTGGGTTATGTGTTTTTCACGGCAGATTTTCCATTTTCCTAACGTTTTGGTTGATTCTCTTCTGCTATGGAGCTCATGATATTTTTGCTGCACATTTGTGTTGGCATGTAATGGCCTGGGCATCAGGACAACTGGGTTCTGTCTTGGCTCTGCCTCTCATCTTCTGTGAGCTCTCATTTCTGATTCTCACATTTCCAGTGCACCTGAAGGGGATAGGATCAGCTGATTTCTAAGGTTCCTTGTAGTTTTCATATCACCACCATTATCAGCAGCATCCTACCACCACAAAAAGCTATGATTGATAATGTGCAATGATAATGCACAACCCTATCTATATTGTATGAAGCATTATATTCACTCTACAGAGGAAAATACCATCCATCCATCAGTTTGTCATACTGTGCTAGCTTGCCTGTTGCTATGATACCGGAAGCTACGTCATCAATCTTTTATGTACTAGCTGGGTCACTCATGGTGGATAGGTTTCAGTAGAGCTCCTAGACTAAAGCAGAGTAGGAAAATCTTATGGATTGTAATAGAATATTTTCTGATAAAGTGCTGGAAGATGAGCCCTCTAGGTAGGAAGGCGTTCAAAGCACATGATGGCTGTTAACAATGGGCCCAAACATACCCACGATCATTAAGATGGTGCAGGAACAAGCAGTGTCTTGTGTTGTACGTGGTGTTGCCAGGAATCAGAGCTAAGTATAGACAGCAACTAACAACAACACAGAAGAAAAAGCTGAAGCTCTGAGAAAGTAAGTGAGAAGATCATACATTAATGCCACCTTGGGACTAGACACCAAGTTGCTTTGGCTCTAATGTCAGTGCCCCTGTCACTGAATCATGCTGTCTCTCTGCTATTCTGTAACTCACACAAGCTAGGATGAAGAGGAGCTGGGCAGGAGGTCTTTGTTGCTCACCTGCCACGGCTTGGCATCTAGTGCATTGGCACATGCACTTCCCAAGAATGGCCCCTTTCCTGGGGTGCAGGACACCAGGTTCTGATAGGCTGCTAGCAGGGCTTTGGCTGCCAATTAGGCTGAGTAAGTGGCAGTCAGATCATAAAGTTTGAAGGTAGACAGGTGGGTGGCTGTCATGTTCTCAAGTTCTTTGCAGTGCTTGGCAGTTTGGGTGGAAGCCCCTGACGTGTACTACCTGCATCCTTGCAACTCCTCCCATACCTTTCTCACCAGACTGTTAACCTCAGTAATTGGCTGGGTGCAACACCAACAAGAAATTCTTAAAACCAGGCAATAGCCCTGTGTGTATGGCCAGGGTCAGGCTGCCGTTCATCAACTCCTGGGCCTTGAGTCCTAGCATCAAGAGGTCATAGGAGAAGGAGGTGGATAAGATCCATAGCTTCCTGGTCACATTCTTCTCCCAAAGGGCCTCAGCCAGGAGGTTGCAGTGAAAGTGGTAACAGTCATAGACAATGACTGTAGCAGCAGCGGACAAGGCGATGGTCTCAGCTGTGCTGTTGATGCTGGTGCTTGGGCTGCTGATCTTCTTCGAGAAGGTCAGGCAACTGCCCGTGCTCCTCATTGCCATCTGCAGCTGCTGATCCAACCACTCAAAGTTGCCACTGTCAGAACCCACCAGGCCCACCCAGGTCCAGTTAAAGTGATGCAACAGCTGGGCCAGGACCCAGGGCTGGTGGGTGCTGCTGGGCATGGTGCGCAGGAAGGATGGGAAGTGGAGATGGCTGGGGAACTGGGGGTGTTGAGATCCATGGCTAACCTGTGGGGAGAAACCAGGCTGCATATTCATGGCTAGGACACCCCCCACACTCCTGCTCAGTATCCATGCGTGCATCCACCCACTACCCTGTGACCTGGTCTCTTTCTCCCCACCCCTCCCTTTTGTTTTTAATTCTTACCTCAACTGGACTTTGATATATACCATGTCCAGGTCCTTCAAGGACTATTGCCTCAGACTTGAGAAGCCAATGCCCCATCTCAAGAGCATATCTTGGGGCTTGGATGGGGGAAGCTGGGCCTAAAGGGGTCTTAAGAGTCTTTATTTATTGTATACATTGTGACATTGAGAAATAAAAATTCAAGCTGAAAACTTGAGGGTGGCATAAATGGTTAACATGCTCAGCTGGTGACCAAAAGGTTGGGAGTTTGCGTCCACCCAGAAATGCCTCAAGAAAAAGGCCTGGAGATCTACTTCTGAAAATCCAGCCCTTGAAAACCCTCTGGAGCACAGTGTGACTCTGACACATACGAGTTGCCATGAGTCATAACTGACTGGGCGACAGTCGTTTTACTCTCCAGATAGAGGCAGCATTATGATGGAGGCCAAAGTCCCTCCTCCTTCCTGTAGTTCCTCCTCTTACCCTATAATATCACGTTGCCTGGGTTCCAATTCCAAACTGCCATTTATTAGCTGTGTGACTTTGGGCAAATGATGTTTCCTCTCTGGCCTCAATTTGATCATTTGTAAAATGGGGATAAAAATATTATCGATCTCACAGAGCTCTGAGGAATAAATGAGATAGGAAATACAAAAGTAGTAGCAATAATAATAGGAAACACCAATGGAGCGCTTATTGTGAGTCAGGCAAGGATCTTTGGTGGTGTAATGTTTAAGTGCTTGGCTGCTAACTGCAAGGTTGGTGGTTTGAACCCACCAGCTATTCTACAGGAGAAAGATGTGGCAATCAGCTTCTGTAAAGGTTACAGCCTCAGAAACTCTATGGGGGCAGTTCTACTCTGTCCTATAGGGTTGCTAGGAGTTGGAATTGACTTGATGGTAATGGATTTGGTTCTTGTTCTTGTATGAGCCAGGCATTGTTCTAAATGCTATAATCATATGAACTCTATTAATCTTCATAAGAACTGTAATATACATAAAATATCTAAAAAGCAGTTTATGTTCATATTAAATGTACCATAAATGCCATATAGTATTGTTATTATTATTAAATCACTCTAAGCTAATATTGTAGAAGAAAGTAGGTGATAAACTCATTTATTCTAGGGTACTAATGACTGACAATAGCCATCCATCATTCCTTCTAAAGTGTTTGCATCTAAATGGGTAGTTTTTCAATTGTGGCATTTGTGATCTCAGTGAAATGTGGGAGGGAAGACATTTAGTATTTCTTGGGGGATCTTTTAAAGCTCACAATTAGGCAGTAGGTGAATGTTTCACAGAAAAATTAAGCTGTCCAGGAAGATGATGCCTCACTTGTTCGATTTTCCAACTCTGAGAAGAGTGTGGAGGAGAATCAGATCACTTTAGCGTGGTTATAAGTCTTCAGGGCTACCATCAGCTCTCAGAGTCCCTGAGTAGCATAAGCAGTTAAGCATTCAACTATAGATAAAAAGTTTGGGGTTCGAACTCATTCAAAGGTACCTTGGAAGACAGGCCTGGCAGTCAGCTTCCAAAAGTTCACAGCCTTGAAAACCATATGGAGCAGTCCATTCTGCACACATGAGGGCACCAGGAGTCATAATAGACTGATGGCAAGTAATAATAAATAATACCATCAGCCCTCAGGTCATAGACTGTTAGGAAGTGAAGGGTGTCCAGGGATCATTAATTCTACAAATCCTGGGCTGTTTAACAATTATTGGAACAATTCATTTGGTAGGTTGTCCTAAGGTTGCCAACTTTTTATTTTGCCAAGGAAGTTTATTGGAAAAATAAAACTACTGTTTACTACCAAATCATAAATGAGAAGGGCATTTTAACACCAGAAGAGGAGAGAGAGAATATTCTCAGAGTAGAGGATGGCCCTCTTCCAAAAGCAGAGCTGGCAACCTCTCCCAATATTGCTGTTATAAACCAGTGAAAACATCATCGCCAATGAGCACCAGTCCCTGGCCCAGCATCAGGGAGCCACGGATCTAGCCCAACACCAGCTCCCCTGTCCTGTAGAACAGGTCTTACCACCCAAGCTCTTTCATCGGCAGCTAGCCTCCAGTGCCTTGCTCTCATCATGCACCCATCCAGAAGGCTCAAGGGTTTTTTTCCCCTATGGGTATATTTCTTACCTGAAGGATTCTGTATGCAGAGAGCAGTTCAGCCATGGGCTTGGGGAGGACTCAGGGGAGGTAAGCCCTCCAATCACCCCTAGGAGCCATCGCTTGAAGCCACAGCTGAAGTTGGGGATGGGCTGGGGCTGGTTGGACAGCAGGGCCAGCGTGCTCGCCAGGGCCCGGGTCCCCGAGATGCAAGAATCATAGGTCTGCAGTTCCATGGTGAGGTTGGGCAGGAAGGTTGGGTCATCTTTGCCTCAGCCACAGCAAAGAGAAAGCTCAAGGCTTGAAGGACAAAGCGGACTTTGAATCTTAGAAGGGGTGCTGGACGGGGGAGTTAGGACTGGCCAGTAGTGCCCTAAAGAGCTGCACAAAACAGTCCTAGGAGTCTTTCCTTGAGAAGAGGCTGAGTGTGAAATGATTGGATTTAGGTGTGCATTTGTTGAGAGGAAGAAGCCCTGGGGGGCCTGGGGATTCTGGGGCAGACAGACACACACATTGACAGACAGGGAGAAAGGCTGGCATTGTTCCAGAGAAGGACAAGGTGGTACACAAAGTGACACACACACACACACACACACAGACTCAGAGGCACGCAGAAAGAAGCTGACAGCAATACGACATATTGACAGCACTGGGTCCTCAAACTCGGGCAGAGCGCTGGCAGAGCAGATGCCAAATGGACGTGACACACAGACTGGGATAAACGATTCAGACACAGATGAGATAGGTACTCAGAGATGGATGAGACAGGGAGACTAGCAGACACACTAGAGTGAAGGGGACAGATACATGAAAAGACAGGAAGCCATATCACAGGCAGACAGACTGACCCAGGCACAGCTGGACACAGATGAACACATGCAAAACAAACCCAGGTAGATAGCTAGGAGCAGATATAAAAGACATGCACTAGAATGCATTTGAAAAAGATAGAAAGAAATCAGATTGACATGGATTAGGGTGGATGGGGTGTTGTCTACGTCCTTCCTGGGTATCTTTCTGGATCACTCATGCCAGACTCAAAGATGGGAAGCTTGGCTAGCTTTGGAAACAGTAAAGTGCTTTGTGAAAGTTGGTCTCAGGGAGAGTTGGATGACAAGATGGACCTCAGACTACCTTCTCCTTGGCCCCATGAACATACCCATATAGGAATCCCACCATTGCTCTAGCTGCCAAGATTCTGAAACTCAGAACCAGGCCCAGGCCCAGGTTGTGGAATTCTGCCCTTCATCAGTGTTAAGGGATGACATCCCTTAACATTGTGCAGAGAAGTGGGTGTGGAGGCCAGAGAGAGAAAAGGACTTGCCTTTGGTTACTCAGTGACTTGGAGAGAAAGCAGGACTTGTACTAAGTTCTAATGCCCAAGCACATGTTCCTTCTGCTAGGCCATGTTTCCCAAGAAGGTCTCTTGAAGGCCCTTCTTGGAGACATGCCAACCAGTGTGGGTTCAGTCCCTCACAAGGCACCGATCTACTGCTTCCACCCACCCACTCACACAGAGCTCCCAAAAGAACAAGGGGATTCACAGAGTGAGGGGCTCCCTGCCAAAGCTGTCCTGCAGGGTTGGTGGCAGGTCTGGGGCCCCCAGCTGGCTACAGTGATCAGGAAATTTGCTCCCCCACATTCCTCCCTCCTTCACCAAGGAAAGAGAGCATGACCCATTCTTGGCATGGTGGCTGCTCCGGAGGCTGGTAAAACTTGACTTCTGGCTTTTCCAGCACTGTGTAAAAGGGAGTCACAGCTCCGATGAGCACGTCTTTTTCAGTAGAGAAAGTCTCTGAGGGCCAGAACGTCGGCAGGTAGCCCAGGGCCCAGACAGCATCTGAGAGCCATGAGAAACATTGGATAGGGCATGGAGACTGTCCTTTCTTGTAGGTATATGGCTGGGTGGGGGTCGGGGGTGGAGAGGTGGGGAGTCCTTTGTTCTCAGAGAATTTGGGCCTGCTTCCTTCAGAAGGCTGTAGATCCACCTTCTAGGGCTTCTAATAGACCCCAAAGAGAAGAAGAGTGAGTGACAGCGCTTTCTGCCCTACATGGCTATGGCCTTCAGAGTTGTCCAGGGCTCTGTGACTCCTTCTAGCCCTGGTCCCCAGCTCCATCCTTGCCTCTCACATCCTACCAGCTCTGAGACTGTCTACAAACGCTCCTCACTTCTTGGCCAGGTGACTGGCAGAGACAACCTCATCCAGATGGGAGGAGGAAGCATACTCTGCCCATCATCATCTCTTACCTTGTGGGGAACCTGCCACAGAGGCCTGTTTTTAAAGGAGTCAGATGTTCCCTGCCCCAGGGCCTGCTCATATCCCATAATTTTCCAAGCTAGAATAAATTCAGTCATGTGCAGGAGAGGTCCTAGCTCTCCAGGGAGAGGCTAGAAAACAAGCCGGCAAAAACACTTTTTCTGAGTCTGTATCCTGGGGTGGGTACACTTGTTATCATGTCCACAGGGGACACATGTAGGGGGAGTTGGACATTCGAGTTCAGTTTGAACCTGTTTTGATCTGGATTCTATTCTCAGTTCTGCCATGAATTCTGATAATGGGTCACTCTCTTTCTTTTTCTTAGGCCTCAGTCTCCTCTTCTGTGATAGGAAAATGGATGAGCTGAGAGACGATGGGACTTTGTTTCATTTGGGTTGTGCTGTCCCTGGATGAATGATAAGAGCAGATGAGAGGAGAGCTAGTGTAAGGACCTCTGAAAGGCAGTATCAGGGCCAGTGACTCCTTTGTAGTGTACAGCACACCCTCCAACCCATCTTCCCATTAAGTCCTCATGATGGTCTTTGAGAAGCAGGCATATAGGTGCCATTGTCAGAGATGATGGTGATTCACGCCAGGTCATGCAAGCAGAAAATGGAAGCTAAAGCTGGATCCTGCCACAGCTCTGCATTGAGTTATGAAGTTGTCCTCCAGGGATATCATTGCTGATGTCAGATGGATCTTGGCTCAAAGCCAAGAGAATACCAGAAAGATGTTTACTTGTGTTTTGTTGACTGTGCAAAAGCATTTGATTGTGTGGATCATAACAAATGATGGATAGCATTGAGAAGAATGGGGATTCCTGAATACTTAATTGTGCTCATGGGGAACCTGTGCATGGAGCAGGAGGCTGTCATTCAAACAGAGCAAAGAGTTACTGCATGGCTTAAAATCAGGATAGGAGTGCAATAAGGTTGCCTCCTTTCTTCATACTTATTCAATCTACATGCTGAGCAAATAATCCGAGAAGCTAGATTATATGAAGAGGAACATGGCATCAGGGTTGGAGGAGGACTCATTAACAACCTGCGATATGCAGATGACACAACCTTTCTTGCTGAAAGTGAAGATGACTTGAAGCATTTACTAAAGAAGATTGAAGACTACAGTCTTCAGTATGGATTACACCTCAACATAAAGAAATGAAAATCCTCACAAGTGGACTAATAAGCAGCATCATGATAAATGGAGAAAACATTGAAGTTGTCAAAGATTTGACATTGCTTGGTTCCACAATCAACAACAGTGGAAGCTGCAGTCAAGAAATCAGATGACGTAAAGTCTTCGGGAAATCAGCTGCAAAAGACCTGTTTCAAGTGCTGAAGAGCAAAGATGTCTCTATGAAGACTAAGGTGCACCTAACCCAAGCCATGGTCTCAATCACCTTGTATGCATGTGAGAGCTGGACAATGAATAAGGAAGACCGAAGAAGAGTTGATGCTTTTGAGTTGTGCTATTGGCAAAGAATACTGAAAATACCATGGAATACCAGAAGAGCTAACAAATCTGTCCTGCAGGAAGTGCAGCCAGAATGTTCCTTGAAAGTGAGAATGGCCAGACTTTGACCAATTTTGGTTATGTTGTCAGAAGGGACCATTCCCTGGAGAAGGATGTCATGGTTGGTAAGGTGGAGGAGGGTCAGTGAAGAGGGGGAAGACCCTGGGTGAGATGGATTGACACAGAGGCTGCAACAATGGGCTCCGGGGTAGGAAGGATTGTGAGGCTTCCACAGGACCAGGCAGTATTTCGTTCTGTTGTACATAAGGTCACTATGAGTCAGAGCTGACTTGATGGCACCAAAAAAACATGTCAGGACTGGAGACACAACAGCAACAATGTATTAGTGTAAACAGCAGTTCTTTCAGTGGTAGAATTCTTGCATTCCATGTGGGGGACCCAGGTTTGATTCCCAGCCAATGCATCTCACATGTAGCCACCAGTCGTCTATCAGTGTTGGTCTGTGTGATGTTGAACAGGTTTAACTAGAGCTTCCAGACCAAGATAGACTAGGAAGAAAGGCCTGGCAATCTACTTCTAAGATCAGCCATTGAAAAGCTTATAGATTACAATGATGTAATCTGCCACCTGTCATGGTCATGGCACAGGATGAGCAGTGTTTAGTTCTGTTGTGTGTGGGGTCACTATTCATCAAGGGCTGAGCTGATGGCCCCTAACAACAATACAATGCCACCACCACAGCCAAGCTGCTCTCAGGGGCAGGTGTTCTAGTGAGTGGTTTTAGTACGGAGGTGGGAGTGAGACCATGCACGGCGTTTGTTCACTGGTCAGTCTAATGGGGGTGATAAAGAGCAGGGAAAGTGCAGAGTCTTGAGATATGCTCCATGGATATGAACTTTGTCCACCACATACAGCTGAGATGACGTGTCCTGTCCCCTTATTCTACAGCGGAGGAACCTCAGACAAAGAAATGGGGAGAAACCAGCCCAGGGGAAATTCTGCCTGTCTCCCCATCGAGGCCTGTCTCTGCCTGTGGTAACAACACAGTGGCTGCATGACTGCTCGCAGTTATTTAGGGGCGCCTTCTCAGAGGGGTTTGCTTTGTGACTATTACCCAGATGTGGCCATGCCTCATACTAAAAGTAGCGCTGTGGTTTCACTGGCTCTGTTGTCCCTGTCAGCCTAGCTGCAGGACTTCTGGCCCTGCCTTGTAGCCTCTGCAGTGACGTCTGGAAGGCCGAGTTGCCTATGAGTTGATTCCAACTCACGTCAATCCCATATGTATGAGGCTTGCCTGGACCCAAACTGCCCAACCGAGCCCAGTCCACATTGCTGAATTGTAGAATGATGAGCTAAACAAATTGTTGTTGGTTAAATCCACTAAATTTTAAAGTGCTTTGCTACATAGAAGGAGCCTTGGTAGTACAGTGGTTAAAGTGCTTGGCTGCTAATGAAAAGGTCAGCAGTTCGAACTTATCTGCCACTTTACTAGAGAAAGATGTGACATCTGCTTCTGTAAGCCTTGGAAACAGCCTTGGAAACCCTATGGGACAGTTCTACTTGGTCCTATTGGTTCGCTATGAGTTGGAATTGACTTGATAGCAATAGGTTTTGCTGTATTGTAAAAAGTAATAGATGCCTTGTTGTAATAATAATGTTGTTGTTGTTATGTGCTGTCGAGTTGGACCCAACTCACAGCGACCCCTCCTTGGGTTTCTGAGGCAGTATCACTACGGAAGTAGATCGCCCAACCTTCTTTCTGAGGAGTGGCTGGTGGGTTTGAACCTCCAGCCGTCTGGTTAGCAGTCCAATACCTTAAGCACTAGTCCACCAGAGCGCATTTTGTGGTTACTAAATATAAAATTAATGACCTTCAGGTTAGTCCACCCAGAGGCACCTCAAAAGAAAGCCGTGGTGGTCTCCTTTGGAAGAATCAGCCCCTGAGAGCCCAGCGAAGCACAGTTTGCTATGAAGCACGTGGGGTTGTCATGAGTTGGACTCCAGTTGGTAGCAATTGTTGTTGGTAATTATTTTCTACAGATGGTAATATTTTAAAATGATGCCATTGAAGTATAACATGCATTTAGAAAAATTCCTATCATACATGAATTTTTACAATTTTAGTACATCTGAGTAGTCAGTATGAGATAAGGATTCAACACATTATCAATTCCTGAAACCCCTTCCATACTCCCTTCCAACCACCATCCCGTCAATTCTAACTGCTTGGACCAGTGTACCTCCTTTGTCCTTTATATATACAGAGTCATACAGTATGCCCTGTTTGCATCTGATTATGCTAGTGACATTCATCCATATCTTTTGCAGTAAACTATAATATTTTCTTAATAGAAACACGATGTTTCTCCTCATATAGGTGTCTAGTAAGTTTCAACCAAGATTTGCTAATTTGAAAAAAAAAGAAAAAAGAAAAAATCTTATATTGAAATGTATAAATACAACATCTATATTTTGGTATGTGCAATTTTTTGCCTCCAGTGAGAGTACATTTCATAAGTCAAAAATCATAAAATAATGATTATTTTTTTAAATTGTGCTTTAGGTGCAAATTTACAAAGCAGATTTGTTTTACTTTCAACAGTTCATGCATTTGATTTCACCACCCTAGATTACTATTCCCAACATAAAAAAACTCTCCTCCCCTCTCCTCCCTGGGACTACCCCCTCCCCATGCCCTTCTTAACTGTGCATTCCTTTCTGTCTAGCTTTCCCTCTATGTGGATGCTGCCCCTTTGATGTCTCATGGCTGGTTGATCTAGGGGTGCATCTCCCTAGGGTAGGGGGGTGCATCTCCCTAGGGTAGGGGGGTGCATCGCCTGGGATAGGTATTGTGCATGTAGGTCTTTCTACTATTGGGCTGAGAGCCAATCCACGGAAGTGAGCCCATTTCTAGGCCTGAAGCGTAACCCAGGTCCATAGTCTCGGGGTTCTATCAGTCTCCATCAGACCATAAGTCTCCTTGGACATTCGTATAGCCCATACAAATATGTATGTAGAGATATTTTCAGCCAAACTTATGGAAGATCATAGATATATTCTCTTTTGCCTAGACATGACAGGCTTAAACATTTTTTCAATCCTTTGG